ACGAAGGGGACATCATATAGTCATTCATGGCTGAAATGCCGCGAACGTTAAAAAACAATATGTACGCTACTTAGTTTATGGTAATTTCACTCAAGAAAGGAAAATGAAAAAACCGGTTATCATTTGGATGCCGATCTTTCATGTTTTCATTGCGTCCACTATCTGAAACGCCCCTTTTCATGGCGTTTACGGTGAAACGCTGGCTCCTTTCTGTGACATAATCTTGGATAATCATCGTTTCTTATGATGGAATGTATAGTTCGATTACCATTAAAACCAGGAGTCTTACATTTAGATATCACATATAGCGGCAAGCGCTGTCTATCAAAATCAAATAAAACTGAAAGCGAGTAACCAAAGTAAAGATTCAGATTTACGAACTAACGCAATGCCAAACAGCGAATGAGTGTTTGCGTGTACTTACCTGCAAACCACTCGGAAATCCTCTTTTTCACATTTTTCCACATTTGGATGTCAACAGAAGTATTCGCGATATCAGCTGTCACAAACGACCCTTCCGCCGTCGGAGTTCGAAGTGGCTTTGGGTCAGTCAGCATTATGGTTGGTTTCGATACCAATCCGACGCCTTTTTTCCTGATGTATTGTAAAGTGGTTCGCTGTCTACTCGTTTCCTTCACTGCGTTTTTCTTCCTTATGGGCGAAGACGAATCTGACAAGTCGACATCGGTTCCCGCAACGGCAGTCATGTCTACTGACGTACCAGGTTCACTAATGCAGATTGCAGGGTCACAAAATGTAGGAACGTCACTGCAATCACTTGCTGTCAGAACGATGTCTCCTTGCTGACCATTCAAAACACAGCTGTCTAAAAATCAGCTTCCACTGGTTTCTATCGCAAACGTTGCAACGGTGTCATAAAAATTACCTGCCAGCCCAGTACAATCCAGATTGCTACTTAAATGGTCCATTTGACTTAGTGCTTCGCCGGTGAGATCTTTAGCCACATCTGAGTCACCTGACTCCGATGGTTCATTCCTCTCGCCTTAGGTTCCAACGTTCCAAACAATATAAAAATTATCGGCATAAAATTACTCAGAATCTCTGACTCTGCATCCCAGGGTCCATCAGGATCGTCATCAGTATCGGGCTCCGACGCTACTTTGTCCGAATCACGGCGCCCAATATTCAATTTTGATATGTTCTTCATCGCTTCCGAAAAACAGACCTTTTCGCCCGGAACAACGTGCCTTAAGAAACAAGAATTATAGAAACAAAAATCGATTTCAATCTCTTGCTGTGCATAAGTTTCATAAAGATCTCCCTGCGTTCCGCATAAGGTGGTTGCCCAGCAAATAATTCAGCCATAGAGGGAGGGTACTAGAAACAAAATTCAACACTGTCCCTGAGTAACGTCAATCGTAACGTATAAATCGAACGCATCGAAGCCGAAAACTACGAAGATTAAAAGCGTAGATGAGGTACATTTTAAACGTTTTGATACGAGTTGGTATGGAACTAGTGCAATTAACCATTAAAATTCATTGGAGTGCCAATATTATACAGCTATATTTTACTTTACGAACACACATCGTCCTTCCGCATTTATACAACACCTCTCAGCGACGTAAGATTCATTTTAAGCAGACCGTCGCCTGACTGCATATAGATTACCTTGTTTAGAACACACATGTGCCACTCATCTGAATTTGTACAACTGTGAAATTGTGCAACTTTGCATTCAGACACCTCTGGTACAGAGGTATTATAATACCAGTGGTCCTGACCCTTATACGACTCTAGAAGTACACGCTTAACCTGCGGTTATTAAGTTCACTACAGAATCGTACTGCATCGTCCTTTTCACGGATTAAGAAGAGTAAACGCTATGCAGAATGGTATGTTCGAAAACAATGTCAGAGTTTCAATATCTGTTCGTACTTGACATCTATCTTGTTAGGTAATCCTATCGGTGGACCTACCAGAGACTTATAATCCAATCAGATGCAGGAAAAGCCTAAAGATGGTTCCAGAGTATTCCGCATCGAACGGCTATTAGCGCCACTGCATAAAAATTAGAATATTTGCTCACTAACCGGAAAAAAGAGCTAAATGACGAAGCGAACATATTTGTAAAATCGTCTGTTAGGAACCCCAATTTCAAGCCCCTCAAGACCTCCGAGCCCTTGATAATGAATGGAAGTTTACCTCTTCTGGAGTTGATTTGACCTTGCCAGCATAAGCATGGATGGCAATATTCGTCAACCCTTGGCAAAGAGACTGCGCCGTGGAACCGATTCTTGTGCAAAAAAAGAATTTAAACGCTGAAGGTCAGAGAAAAAGTGCACGCTGGCGCTGTCTCTTGTAGTTATACAAACGAAATCTCGTGCAACATGAATTTTTGGCTCAGAAATCGCCGGCAGTGTGGCTGACACTGACTCTAACTTATAGAAAACTGCAACGCGAGTGAAATATAATTTTCACATCATTTTTTATTTAGATGTACACTTTGTTCTGATTTTTAGTCAGCAGTTAAATCGGTGAAGGATAATTGCAGCCGTTATATCATAAGCATGACTGTATATCTCGCACGCTTTGACGCATTAGCATGACCACACCGAAACACCACACTGTTGCTAACAACCGCAGATCAACGACCTGCTACATGTTTTTCAGTTGTTTTCACCGAAGCATGGTGAGGGTGAATTTCTTGTTTAAGGAAATTTGAAGTTAATCGGGAAAAAATTTACGCCGCATGTTCAATTTGAACCTGGCACTTCTAGAATGCAAAGCATACTACTTATATTGAGTCACCGACCCAATCCACCATTGTCAAACAGATAATGAAAATCCCTCTCAAAACGAATAATGATTAATTTTTAGCTTGATGAGGCTCCATTACTGAAGGACTAGTGTCCGATCGTAGTGGAATAATGGATTTCGAACGAACCAAGGCACTTCGCATATTGCAATTTCACCGTAGAATTTGCGGCAGGGAAGGGCAATCTAGAAGAAATAATCTGATCTAAACCAAGGTTGGTCCCCCTCCACAAACGATGCTCATGAACAGGCCGAACATGGGTTCCTCACAGTAATTCAGATTGTGGTTTATATCGATGTACGTATATCTCTGACGCAAAACCGACGAGCCCAATCGTTCACAACAGGTAAGAAACATCATACATATTACTCAGCGCTTACTCGATGAGGTTCGGATCTGGGATACAGATGGGGTGCAACGGAAGCTTGCATCTTAGCCATATCGGTTCCTCCGGCAGATTCGCTAACAGTGACCGGTAGGCCGAGTAACATCGATCGCTGCAAAACCATTTTCTCTCTGTCAGTTCGTAAACGCAATGACAACGAATGGCATATTTAGTTGTTAAACGACTATCTGGCAAATTGGCACAAGTCAAATAGCCGCATATTTTTCCCAAAGCGCGCTCTTCAGCTATCGCCGTCAGCGAGCCCGTATCCAAATACTGTACCTGAAAAGAGATACTTTCCTATGGTCAAAGGTTGATGAAAATTCGTTGCATATCAGTTTTTAACCTTGCACTGTTAAAGCGAACTAGAGAGAAATGTTCGTTTCATCATCATTATCTTTAGTCACTTTAAAAAATCGCAGGTTGCCAAAGATTCATGATGTCCATTCACCGTAACACTTTCTTTCCGAAACAAACAGCATAATGTTAACTGAGGACTACCATCTAAAAAATTATAACTCAACTCTAAGTAAATATTGTCAAAAAAATTTGAAGCGGTTCTTATTTACCTCCTTCTTTTCAACCAGTTTCGTGGGACATAAATGTAAAATTAACTTTCCATATGATGTGCTTCAGTCAGTCAGTTTGCCAGTCTAACCATTAGTTTTGTGGAGGCAGTGTCACCAACGCTCTTGATCCTGTTCCAGCATCTAGGCCTAAGCAGAAGAAAACCCCAGTATGGAGCAGAATCTATCCATACACTAGCTCCATGTTTTTCATGGCCGTCCCCGAAGTCTTCGGCCGGTCGCTTAGGCAAGTAGTAGCTTTTTCGCCTTCTTTGCTGAAAGCAAAATGTGTCCAAACAATTCAAAAAAACTTCTCAATCTGGAGAAGCAACTACACTAAGGTTCTCTCGAATTTCGGTACTCTAGACCAGGTCAACAAACGTGATCCCAACGATTCGTCTCAGAAAGTCATTTCAACCTTTTGTACCCGAAGTCGAATCTTATCAGTCATGGTCCACCACTCATGACCGTAGATGAGCATCGGGATGAAGATCGACTTGAACGCAGAGAAGTTAGTTTTCAGACGTGGCTCTGAATTAGTCACAATGATTCAGGGTAGTTCATGCAGAAGGCCGCTGGCCATTCCAATTCGCTAATTGATCTCTTCCTTGCATTTTCCATCAATAGTAAAAATAAATGGGCAGTACTCAAGTCACCTGCGGTTGCAGTGGTTGGTTGATACTCCTGCCCATCAAGGTAACCAGAATTGCAAAGAGAAATCCAAGAACTGAACGAAACGTCAG